CTCCCAGTAATTTGAGTTCATAATAGGTCAATATATATATTAAAAGAAAAAAGACCAAACACATCCACTGCAGCTGTGAGAACAGGCAAACAAAGCCAGCCTTTCTGGAGGAAAGACACATCTCTGTCTTTTATGCAATAAACCAGCAAACTGCTGCTGTACACTAAAATCAATACCCGGAGAGACACCCTTATGTTGCAATTGCCAACATTAAGTGCTTTATTTTAATTATAAAAAAAAACCAACCCCCCCACAAAAATCCCAACCCAGGCCTTGCGTGATGAATGTCATTAGAGAGTTGCTATCAGCGCGAGGAGGCAAAGGCAGCCTGAAGCTGGTGGACTGGGGGGGTCCGGTGCCACCATGTCACCCGGAGAGGGGTGTTGACAGTCTCAGCACCTACACGCACCCCGGTCCGGGGTGAAGACGTAAGCCAAAGAGTTAAAAAGAGGACGTGGGATATTTGGGGTCCCCACCTTGCCCAGCCCCCCCCCACTCTCCCCCCCCACCACGCTGGGGTGCAAAGCACGAGCTGGCATCCGCAGGGCTGAGCTCAGCCTGTCCTTCCTAAAATGGAGAAAATCTGGATATTGACCAAACCCGATCCCTCCAATCTGTTTCAGGGGCTTTTTCAGAATAGCCTGGAACTGGAGAGACCTCACACAGCCCTTTCTCTCCTCCAGCACCTCCATTTCCCTTCTCAGTCCCTTTTTCCCCTGTTTATTCAGGAATCATCTCCAGGGTCAGCAACAGACCGCTCCAGCCTGAAATGGGGCTTCTGCTGCAGAGTGAAAACTATCAAAAAAACACTTGTGCTCTCAAAATACCCTCGATGCTGCTGGCTGGGCGAACAGGAGCCCTCTTGGCCTGCGGCATTGTATTTTGAAGGCCAAGGAACTCAGCAAGCATCACACCTGCAGCCCAGCCCTGCAGCATCACACCTCGAAGCCAGCAAGCACGTGCCCTGCGCCGGATCCGAAGGGTCTGTCTGCCCAGCAGAGCCCTGGTCCTGCCCTGTAACCCAGCGTGGGAGGAACTGGTGCTTGGGAAGATGGCAAAGTTGAGCTGAATCTCTCCTGACTGCGAGCATCTGGGGTTTTCCACTCAAGACGGCCTGGAAGCTGATGCACTAGATGAGAACAATTCCCTTTGGAGATTAAGAAACTCGATTTTTCTTCAGAACTTCACCCAGAGCGAAGTTTTGATTTGCCAATAGAAAAATCAACGTAAAAACAAGCATATACTCACCAATCAAAGGAATCTAAGGAACTCTGCTCAAGAGGGTGCTGCCCGGGTTTGGGTTGGGAGCGGGGTCAGCCCTGCGCCTGCATCTGCGCTGGTCTTCGGGGCTGGTATCACAGCCCACGGCCAGACACTGAGCTCCTCTACTAGAGCTCGTGCGGTTCTCACTGCACACACTGTGCTCAGCTTGCAGGGCCGTGGACCTTCGGAAGCTGTTGTGAATCCAGGCCTTACTATTTTCCTTAAAAATACAAGAAAAAGGGAAAAAAACCCCACACCATGACAGTGTTGCGGTAATTACAAGGAGGTTTTAACACATGTCTCAATTTGCATTAATTAAATCAACAGAGAAGCTTCAATTGAGTAAATGAGGTTTTTTCCTAAGCGGCAGCAAATGCTGCGGCAGGCTGGAGCTGGTAACTCCAGTTTGCTGCATGCATGTGTGGCGGGATGGGGAGGGATCTGCCGGCTGGAAGGGGCTTCCCAGGAGGGAGGGAGCCGCAGGCAGGATGAGCTGGGGGTGGGGAGGATGAGAAGAAGACTCTCAGCTCTAAGATACTAAGAGCTCCAAGCCAGGTCTGTGCTGACACTGTCGGATTCCAGCCCTGAGCCCGGAGAGTGGAAAGCTTTGAAGCCGAAGCGGGTCGGAGAGCGGAGGTTGCTCTGCGGAGATAAGCCGTGGGTAAGAGGAATGCGTCCATTCATACCCCAGCCATGCTGCAAGCACAGCTGTGAGGGGAATATAAATGGGCAGCATTTGTTTTTTTTTTTTTATTTTTAAAGCCACCGGTTTGAATATTAAAGCAGATCAGACCCATTGAAATGCTTGACTGGAAGTGAACTCTTTCCAACGCACAACCCTCCAGGGCAGGGGATGGCTGGGCTGCCAACCTGCAGGCGGGTGCCCCGGGTGCCGACATCCCCAACATAACGGAGTCGGTGTTTCCTTCCCACGTCCCTGAGAAGCAAAATCCCTCTGTGGATAAAACACGGGGGATTTACGGATATAAAACCCAGCTAATTCACATTCAAACCCAAACCTCTGTGGCAACCAAGAGCTGGTGCCGACAGGCTGCTGTGGCAGATAGTGTACCAGGCTAACCCTTAATTCCTGCTTTTTGCCAGAAAACCTTCCAGTGCGGCACAGGCAAGCCTGGAGCAGCCCGGACCACCCCAAAGACTGGAGTGCTCTCCCCTCTGGTCGCTGGCCCAGGCACGTGGCAGGGAACGATGCTCTGTCCCTTCCCATGGCTGGGAAACGCTGGCTCCGGCAGAGGTGTCCCGGCCCTTTTCTTTCCGACCTCTCAGGCCCAGCAAAGCAATCCAAGCAAGCTGGGATGTGGGGAAAACACCTTCCTCGTGTGCTACGCCAGGGATTTGTGCCGCATCTTTCATGCACGCTGCCTCCGGCCTCGAGGCTGGAGCATGTAATGGGTATCTGAAGGAAAGTGCTGCTTGCAAGGGCAGCCTGATTGAAGAGATGGCTCTGGGCTGGGTTTTAAAGCAGATGCAGTGAGTCAGTGAAGTAGGAAAATGCTTGGAGAGGGCTCCTACACTACCACATCCCACAGAGAGCAGAGAGGGGCCGATGGAGCGGAGGAAAGAGGGTGTCCGCCCTGCCCCAAGTGACCCTAGGCATTTTTGAACTCCCCTCTTTCTTCCAGCTGGGTTTTCCTCCCAAGGCACAAACACAATTGGGAACATGGTCCTGGGCGCAGAGGCTGACTCTGGAGTGGGGAGCAAAGGGATGCAGGGCCAGGCAGAAGGACATCTGCCCGCTTCCCTGCTTCCCCCAGCCCCACGGGTACTGGTGATGGGAATAAATGGCTTTCTGTGAACCAAAGGGTTAACGAATGTCAGAGTCACCCTCTGAGCACAGTTGGTTTCTGCCACCCCCTTCCCGAAAGCCTTTACATAAGAGCCTTGCAGAATTTATAGCCTGCCTCAGCTGTGCCGTGCTGGAGCTGCGACCCGGCTGCTCCCCTGTAGCTGCCAGCACAGATCCCCTGCCATGCTAATTCAGGGAGGAAAATGGGATTTGATTTCTGCACCAGTCACTGTCTCTCACTGTTAAAACAGGACCTGACGGGCTCTGTCCATCCCCGCTGGCTCACCCACACGATTCATCGCATACATCAACCTTGAATGTCCGCCACCCACCCTCAGCATCTCAGCACGACGGTCTTGAGGATCCCTGGGTTGTCACACCCCAGCCTGCTCCCAGGGCTAGAAATGGTGTTTAACGTGTAAAACAAACAAACAAAAATCTCCAAGCCTCAAAAGCACCAGGGTCTTGTGGTCCTGTTCACATCAGTCCTTTGTGTCACTGGAGAACGGAGCAGACGTTGAAAGATGTCCCCTCTGCTGCTGCACAGCACTTTGCCTTCCCCCCGAGGCCAGCCCGGAGCATCCTCAGCCCTAGGACTCGCCCTTGACTAAGAGGGGCCAGGGGCCACCAGCGAGGCGAGGACGTGGCCATCACAGTGACACAAACAACTCAGGCACCGGAGGAGTGAGATGCTGCTTTTCCATTCCCCTTTATTCCCCTGGGAGAAGGGCTTTGCTGGCGCCTGTCACCCGCTGTCACTGGGTGAGGAATAGCATGTACCACCCAAACTCCCCTCTCCTCCATCCTCGGCACCCCAGGAAATCCTGCACCGGGCGCTGTCGTCTGCTGCAGCTTCTCTCTTTGATGGCAGGAGGTGAAGCAAAGCCAAGGCTGCCGCTGCCGTCCCCCCTCGCATCCCCCAGCAGGAATGCCATGCCGGCGGCTGCGGGGACAATGCAAAAGCAGATGGTGTGCCGGGAGCCCGGATGTTCCCAGCAGCTGCCGAGGCGGCGTGGCCAGGATTGCCGGCCGCCTCTCCGGCCGCAGTGCCAGCGAGGACCCTGGGGAGGGTCTCCAGTGGGGTAAATCCATGGAGCTCCGCCGGCTTCAGGATAGCTGAGGATCGGACCCCCCCTTAAAAAGCACCCCCTGCTCTAACATCTCTGGTGTTACCCAGGAATGTGCTACAGGTACTTCCAAAATGCCTTATTCCCACCGCCAGCACGTGCCTGTTTGCAGCAGCGTTGCTCTTCATGCTGCAAAACCAGGCTGGGCTGTTTTCTTTCCATCCCTGGGGCTGATCCCAGTCCCCGTTTCACATCCCTGCGCTGCTGGGGTGCTCAGAGATACCTCCAGCGAGTCCCGTGTTTAATACCGTCCTCTTTCTTTTTACCCCCAGATTTGAGGTGTGGAGTCAGCAATCTGGCCAGCTTTCCAGGACAACAATAAGATTTTCATTACCTTTGTGCTTGGAGCCCTGATGCTGCATCTCTTTGCGCTGGTTCTTTTTGGCTGTGGTTGAACTACACCCAACCCACAGCAAACGACCTGCCTGCTCCTGCCAGATGTGTCACAGCTGCAGCAGATCCAGCCAGGCCCGGTGAGGGATCGATGCCCACCCACCCTCTGCATGCAAGCAGGGTGTCACCTCAGGCCCAAGACACAGCCAGCTCAGTCTTTGTCCCCGGGGATTTTATTCTCTTAGTCCCACAGCCCTCACTGCAGGCAGCAGCCACTGCAGGCAGCGCTTGAGCAGGGAGGGCTCTCCTGGCACGCTCGCTGAGCACCACGGCCACCAGACGTCCTACGAGCACGGTCCCCAGGTCCTGCTCTCCCCATGGGTCCTCCTGCCCTTGTTGGCTCCTGCACGGCATAGTTTGGACAAGAAGTAGCTGCTTTCCTCAGCTCCCACCAGCGACCTCGGAGCAGGCTACAGCTTGGAGTGGCAGAACGGTGCTTCTGGAACAACTGAGTCTCCGATGCCTTCAAGGAGGTTGTCCCATTGATCGAACTCCTCTTCCAGGTCTGTACGGGGCAGAGATGGTGACAGGGTTACTACAGCAATTATCAGCCTGGCTCCAGGCATAAAGGAGGTGCAGCCACCGGACCCCTTTGCTTTGTGCAACGGGATGGGAAGCACCAAACCCAAGCCCAGGGAGGCAGCGGCTGCCCCGCAGCCCCCTGCGAACGGGGGAGCTCTCGTGCCCTCCTGAGCCCCCGGCCGATGTGCCCTCCACCCCACACCGTACTGAGATGCCTTTGCAGGAAGGCCAGAGCTGCCCGGCTGGTGATGTCCAGACCCTTGTAGGGGTCGAGGGTCCCCCTCAGGCCAAGGAAGCGGTTGATGAGTTTCCCAGTGAGAAAGGTGAAGTCGGTCTGGCTCTGGTGCACAGATCCCCTGGGACAGGGAAGGGATCTGCTTCAGTGGGAGCTGGGGAGAAGTCCTCCTGCTGGGACACAGCTCGTAGGTGGTCCCAGGAGGGTACTGGCCGGTCGGTGCCCCCAGCCCCTGACTCACAGGATGGTTATAATCTTCGTCTGCCTGTTTCTGGAGCTCAGTCTCTTCATTTTGGCAATGCTTTCTGGTGTCTGGAACTTCTCGGTATTGATGAAGAGCACGGGCTTGGGCACCTCCGGGTACAGTGCGTTCTCCAGGGGGAACATCCAGGCATCCAGAGCCACCGCACACCTGCAGCAGGACGGACACCCGGCACTGCTGCCCACACCACAGCTTCCCTTCCCACCGGGATGACCCACATGTCCCTGGAGCTTCCCACGGCTCCTGGTCCCTGCTGCGGCTTACCTGAAGCTGGGCTCTTTCACCAAGGCCAGCACTGCTGTCACCCCGCCAAAGGAATGGCCCATGACAGCGACTTTGGTCAGATCAACGCTGTCCTGCAAAAAAGAGAAGGCTGAGGAGCCTGTGCCCAAACCCCACTGCAGAAGGTCCCTAATCAGGGAAGAAAAAGCCAAGGAAAGATCAGCAAAGCCCCCCTGCTCTGCCCTCTGCAAGGGATGCCATGTCCAGTTTTCACCGCCAGTGCAATGGAACCCAGCTTCCCTGGCATGCACGAGGGAGAAGAAGGAGAAAAGAGGCACCAAGAAGCCAAAAAGTGGAAGGCTGTGGCTCTGCACAGACCCTGCTTGTCCCAGGAGGGACTCATGCAACAAGGACTGATCCTGCCAGCAAAGGGCACCCGGACCCCCCCCGCCACCAGCCAAATGATCCCCCTGGCTCATCCTTCAGCACAGACAGACCCAGATACCTTCAGCACAGAGAGATCAAAGTCCTGGTGAAGGACGTTCAGGACAGATTTACCACTGCGGATGTCCTCGAAGAGCCGGAGTGCTCGCACACATTCCTCCGCTCTCTGATGAACCTGGGAGTGAGAGTTGCCCCTTCCCCGGTTAACCCAGCCCCTCCACCCCGCAAGTTTGGGGCCAGATCCTCCCCCCGACATCCACCCACGCTCGTCCCTCCAAAACCGCAGCTCTCAGACCCGACGAGGCTTTCCCTGAATTATGGCAAACGTAAAAGCAAGTGAGAGGCTGCACCGCAGCGGCTCCTGCGGGGATGTGGTGAATTTATTGGAATGATTTCTTCTGTTGTTTGTTTTTAATTCAGTTAATCTGATAGCAGAGATGGCTGGAGATGAGCGAAAGACCTCTGCTCTGGGGAGCAAGCAGCAGGGTGCGCAGGGGAGGGAGAGCCGGGTTTCCTCGCCAGCTGCCCCCCCAGCCAAGCCTGCCGAAGCCACCCACCGGTGCAAACACCCACGGGGAGCCCAGACCCCCCGTCCCACCCCAGCTGCCAGAAGCAAACCTGGACGTCACCCTGAAACCCAGCTCGGGGGCTCCATCCAGGAGCAGCTCAAAAGCCCAAACCACTGATTTGGGGGGAGGAAGCCCTGACCTGGAGCCACTTTGGGACTATGTCCTCTGCTCCCCTGACACAAATGCTGTTGGCTGTGCATGTTTAAAGGCCTTCCCCCAAAGTGAGAAGTGACAAAAAACTCAGACGAAAACCTCTCTCCGCTCTTCCCTGCTTCCTCCAACATAGATGATGCCATAACTGAGGCTGACCTGGCAACCATTTCTCTCTATAATTTATTTCTCATTCACCCTCAACATTTATGCTCATGGGTTCATCTTTATAGGAAAACTCTTTCCCTTGTTCATGCAATGTGCCATGAGACAGACTGTACACAAAAATAAGAGGCTGGGAGGTGATTTAAGACTGCCAAAAGCACCTCCAACCACTGCATTTCCTAGAGAGCTTTTCTATGACAAATCTTGACTCAACGTTGTCCTTTTAATCGAGGCAGAAACGAGCAGGGGGGAACCTGGCTCAGCAGGAAACCTTCCTGCTCCTCAGCAAGCAGCTGTCTGGGGTAATCCCATAGGGACAAAAATCAGAGCATGAACAAACCCAGCAGCAGGTCCGGAGCCCTGCCAGCCTGCGGTGCTGGGCTGGGCAGAAAGCCTGTTTCTCCCTGGGATGCAGGTGGCATTAAGCATCCGGACACGGCAAAGCCCAGCCCGGCTCCTGCCAGGGTCATCTGGAGCCGGACAGAGGGACCCCATGAAACAGAGATAAACAGGTTGAATATATTTTTCTCAGCTTGCAAGGAGAAAGCTCAGCCCCAGCATCAGCATCACAGTGGTATGGGTTTGGGGAAGGCAGGAGATGAAGACCCCAGGTATGCGGGGCCGGCTCGGCTTGCGGGAGGGATTTCACGCCTCCTGGGTTGCCCACCCTTAACCCCCCACCCTGGTACCTGCTTGTTTCGGAAATAAAACTCCTTCTGCCCTTGGGGCACCCGTTGGTAGGGGATCCACTCCTCTCTCCCAGCCTCTGCTTTGCAGAAATACGTCGCAGAGGCAGAATGGTCCCTGCAGCGGCAGGAGGGCAGGCAGTCGTGTCGCGGGGGGCACCGCCAGCTCCCCGGGACACGATGCCCTGCCAGCCCTGTCATGGCTGCCAAATTTGGTGGGGACCGGGGCACCCACCTGTGCTCCAGTGCCGCCACCGTGAAACCCCAGGATGCCAGCTCCGAGCAGACCGAGGAGTACAGGGTCCTGCCAGGGAGCCGGGGCGGGGGGAAACAGGGTCAGGGCTCCGCTGCCAACCCAAGGCAGGTCTGAGCAGGGCCATGGGGGGCCCAGGACACCTGCATCCCCATCCTGGCTCTGGCCCTGAGCAGGGGCTCAGCACCCCCAGCCTCTCTCGGGTCTCATCCTACCGAAAGGCTCCCAGGCCGTGGGAGAAGATGATCAGTGGGTACCCGCTGCTGCAGGGCTTGAAAGGGCCGTTCCAGCTCACCGGCACTTTGCAGGAGCCTGCGGGGAAGAGAAACCCCCCCAGGAAAAGGGGGGACACGGGCAGCGGGGTGCTGCTCCTGCAGCAGGTCCCCGCTCGGCTCCGTCCCTGCCTGTAGCATCCACCCAGCTGCCCCAAGCACAGAGGATGGGCTCGGTGGCCTCGAACCCCGCTAAGGGAGTGGGTCCCTAAAGGAATGGGGGAACACCCAGGGATGATCTTGAAGGTCCTTTCCAACCTAAATGATTCTATGATTCTATGGGGGAGATGCGGTGCCCGCCACCCCCTTACCGATGGCGATGCTGAACAGGGGCGCGCACCAGCGCCGGCTGCGGCGGGTGAAGTCGGCCAGCCCACGGCAGTACTCGTAGCGTGGAATCCAGAGCGGCCGCTCGGCCCCTGCCCGGGGTAGGCAGGGGTAGAAGAGGCGGAGGAAGAGTCCCTGGGGAAGAGAAGAGGAAGGGGGAACGCGGTGGGGACAGCGCAGAGAAGCGGTGGCCATGTCCTCGGCAAGCTCAGCTGGCTGCAGCCACCCTGCTGTGCATGGAAGCCTGTCCCCATCGCCGTCCCCGTCCCCGTCCCCGTCCCCGTCCCGTACCTGCCGCGCGTGGCCCACCATGACATCCGCGCAGCCCACCTGGTGAGGTCCCTTCCCCGGGGGCAGCGCCAGCGCCAGCGTCCCCCCCATGCTGCCACGGCCGACCCTAGGTGGAGGCACGGGGTCAGCGTCCGTCCCCCACCCGGGGGACCCCGACTCGGTCCCTCTTCCTTCCCCCACCCCTCTTCTGTTGCCCAGACCCCGGGCATCCCCCCAGCGCCGTGCCAAGCAAACACACTGGCATGGCAGCAAGAGGAGAAACGAGATTCCCGATTCCCACCCCATGGAATTCCCAGACCCCCTGGGGATGCTCAGAGATGAAACCCCCGCTGTTTCTCTCCTGGGGGCTGCCGGAGCGGAACAGCGGGGCTGATGGCTGGTCCGTTGCCCCATGGCCACCCTGCTGTGGGGCAGCCGTCCCTATCGTCCCCCCCCTTGCACCCAGGGATGCTGAGGGCTGGGGGGAGACCAGCACGGCCAGACACTGCAGAGCCGGGGTGACACTGGGGATGTGCGAGCAAGGGGTCCGTGTGGGGCTGACACGGCCGCCTGCCAGCCCTCAGCACCCACGGGAGCCACTGAGGACACGGGGGGGGGGGGGGGGGGACCCCGCACCCCAACCCCCCCCCGTGCAGAACTACAGCTCCCAGCAGCCCCCGGGGCTGGGGAACCACAACTCCCAGTATAGCCCTGGCCTGGGACTACACCTCCCAGTATGCGCTGGGTTCCCGGACTACACCTCCCAGTATCCCCAGCTGAACTACAGATCCCAGTACTTCCCAGTGCCCGTCTCCCAGAGCCCTCCCCGCAGCCCCCAGTGCTCCCTTCAGCGTCCCCAGTTACCATCGCAGCTTCCAGTACCCCTCCCAGTGCTCTGTTACCCCCGCAGTTCCCAGTGCTCCCCAAGAGCTCCCAGTGCCCCCCCCCCACCTCCCCCTGGGGATCCCAGTGCCCCTCCCAAGTTCCCAGGGCTCCCAGTTTCCCTCTGTGCTCCCCAGCTCCCAGCACCACCCCCCTCAGCCCCCAGTATCCCCCATTCTCCCCCTCCCCAGCCCGCCCCCGCACTCACCAGTGCACCGGCCCACAGCTCCCAGCACACACCAGTGCGCGCTGCACTACAGCTCCCAGTGCCACGCGTGCGCGTGGACTACAGCTCCCAGTAGCCACCAGTACAGGACACAGCTCGCAGTCCCACCAGTGCAAAATCACAGCTCCCAGTGCCACCAGTGCAAAATCACAGCTCGCAGTCCCACCAGTGCAAAATCACAGCTCCCAGTGCCACCAATACAAGATGCAGCTCCCAGTCCCACCCGTGCAAAAACCACAGCTCCCAGTGTGGGCTGCAACCCCAGTCTCCCCATCGCAGCCGTGGTCCCTCCGTGGGGGGGCTGTGGGGGACCCTGCCCACGGGCAGCACCCTGACCCCAGGGCTGCCCTGTCCCTCTCTGCACCCCACCCGGGTTCCTGCCCCCCAAGGGCTGGGGACTGTCCCCATGTCCCCCCCCCAGAAGAGCCCCGGGGCTCCCGCTGCCCATCCCCACATTCCCTGTCCTTCCCTTAATCCGCTTTCTGCAGCTAAGGCAGCCCCGGGCCCCGGTAATCCCCTCGGTGGCCGGGGATTAACTCCCCACGGGGCTGAGCTGGCCAGGCCTGGCAAATAAATATCCAAAGATTTGGTAAAAACCGTCCCTGCCGAGCTGCCACGCACGCAGCCCCACGCCAGGGTCCCATGGGCGCACAGGGAAACTGAGGCACAGGCTGAGCACCGAACGGCTGTCACTCTGTGCGTCCCCTGGGTCCCACCCGGCCACTGGGGCAAGGAGAGGGGACCCCAGCCCATACCCACCACCACTGCCACCCCGAGGTGCCCAGCTGGGACTTGCAGCACCCTGCCCCGTGCCGAGCACCCATCCTGCCCCCAGAGGCTGGTTCACCTGCAGGCTGAGGCCGGCCAGGTTGTTACACCCATGGATGAGATCCAGCACCCTGTCGCGTCCCGGCTTGCCCGGCCGGCGGGGCAAGGGCGGAGGGTGGCTGGGGATGCCGGGACGGGGTGGGAGACACGAGCCCCAACCTGCCCTGCTGCCCGCTCCAGCCCACGCCTGGCTCTCTGCCGTGGGGCTCAGCACCCCCACATCACCCTGGCAAAGCCACCCGTGGGAGAGGGTCCTCGCCGGAGATGGGGGGGGGGGCTGCTCAAGGCGGTGATTCTGGCTGCTTGGGGCTGTTCCCGCTCGAGACCTGCGGGACAGGAGTGGGGGGGGGTCCCACAGGTGAACCCCTGGGGTCTGGGTTATGTGGGTGCTGCTGGGGGGGGAGCGCTGGGGACCAGTTGGCTTTGCTGCCCACCGTGTTGCCCCCACGCTGGGCTCGCGTGGCGTTTACAGGGGTTTGCTTTAAAGGAATTAACTCGGCCCACGCTCCCGCTCGGCTCTGGTTCCAGGGACCCCCTCAAGAGTTCTCACAGCCACGCGCTGTGGACGGCTGATTTGGGGGGGGGTCAGGCCACGCTGGGACCCTCATCTCTGCCCCGTGGGAGGGTGAACCCCACAATCCACCACCGGCTTTGCACCGTGACCCCGGCTCCCGTGCGGGGACGGGTTTGGAGCTGGGTTTGACTTAGGCAAAAGCTGTCAGGCTGCAAAAGGGCTTGACCTTCCCGCTCCGTGCTGGGACCCCGGGGGCCGCACTGGACCCCAGGGGAGGTCACTGGTGCCCAGGGGAGGTCACTGGTGCCCGGAGTGTCACTGGTGCCCGGGGGGGTCACTGGGGGAGATGGCCCCAGCTATGTTTCTGGCCTCTCCCTGCTCCTCCGTCGCTGCCCCATCGTGACCCCATCGCTGCCCTATAACTGCCCCTTCCCTTTTGGGGGGTTCCACGGGGGGCTCCGGGGCACAGGGGGGCTGGGGGGGGGCTGAAGGCAGCAGCACCCGAGGGCTGAGACCAGCGGGACGGGCCGCTCCCCTCGGGGCTCCCCGCCACCGGACGCTCCCGCCAGCAGGGACGCGAAGTGGGGGGGACACGGGACGTGGGACGGCCCTCGCGTGGGGTCCCGCAACGAGCGGGCGGCGCAGGGACCCTGCGGAGCCCCGGCCGCCCCCCTCAGGGCACCACCCCTTCTCCCCCGCCCCTCCCCGGGCGCGCGGGGAACCCCCCGTCCCACGTGGGCGCTCTGCGGGCGGCGAAGCGCTGCCAATGGGAAGGCGCCGCAGGGGGGGGCCGCTCCGCTGGGCTGGCCCTCTGGTGGGTGCGGGCCACGCCCACGGGGGCGAGAGAGACCAATGGGAGGCGAGTGGGGCGGGGCCAAGGGCGAATGTTGTGACGGTGGGACGAGGACGCGGTGTAACAGATGCGGACGGGGC